GTGTGTGTGTGTGTGTGTGTGTGTGTGTGTGTGTGTAAAAGCTAATAAGATTTTTATTTTTGGTCGAAAATGTGTGTGTGTGTATGTGTGTGTGTGTGTGTGTAAAAGCTAATAAGATTTTTATTTTTGGTGGAAAATGTGTGTCTCCATCAGGCCAACTGGCATCATTAAAATGCTGGTTTTCATATCAGCCTGAACTCATTCTTGTCTCCACCATCTGTGAGGTCCCCTCTGGCGTCTCGCACACCAGTGTGAGCAAGGAGAACGGTTTAGGGCAGGAGGTCGGATGTCTGCTCTTGAGCTCCTTCTGCTCAGACGTGGCTCACAGAGAGGTCCTTCTGGACCCTAGGAGGCCTGCCTACTCCCTCCTAAGGACCCAGCACAGCGCTCGTTTTCTTTCTGAACAGCTTCGTCTGGGGCACCGCTGGCTCTCATTTCCAGGGGACTGCGCAGCCCGGCTAAACGATGGTAATGGTGCTGATGTGTGAGCAGTATCATAAAACGCCTTCAAGTCCAGTGCTTGTGTGGCATGGGTGCTAACCGCTTCATCAAGCCCCTCTCCTGCTTCCTTCACACCTTGCCCGATGCCAGGTTGATTCTAAAATGCAGCTTCCTTCCTTTCCAGCCTCTGCTTTCTGATAGCACCGTAGGGTAATCACTGAGCTGTTACTTACAGCGTCAATGCAAACCCACCAGCTGTGCCTTGGATAAAGATGAGGCTCTCTGCCCCCATAGCTTGACAGTCTCTGAAAGTTTCCAGAGGATTACTGTGAGTCCAAATGGGCTTGGTGACAATGGGCTTTTTGATGGAACTTTCTGCTTCATGACATTGTGCTGTCTTGGTCCCTTAAAATCACTGACTGCTATGCAAATGCACACACACACACCTTATGCATTCATTCACTCATTCTATCTAGCTGGTACACATGCACATGGGACAGTAATGATTAGGGCAAACAGAGATTGAAACCCTAATAGGAATTCTCGCTTAGCAGCAGGATGATAGCTGTTAATATTTCTTTATGCCTTTCCTATTTTATAACTTACTTTTCTAATCAGAAAACAAAAATGACATTGAAGGACTTTCTTGGGAAAGATACCAACACAACGGCCTTCCTCAGCCGATCTAAAATGGCACCGGTATGTATGTGTTCTCAGTTGACAAAGTGAAGCTAAGAAATTGTCACCCCTGTGACAAACCTGCATGAAGCAATGGAATGAATGCTATTGTTGATCCTGGCCACACTACAGAGCTCTGGCCCCCCAAAACCGTGTTCCATCCTTTTGTGACCAAAAGGAAAGTCCCCCTGTCTTGAAGTGCTCCTTGTGCTCCATCTAACCTCTGCTCACAAACAACAGGGGGCAGTAAGGGGGCCTTTAAGGAGAACAGGAGTGGGAGGAATGACCTGCCTAGAGTAGGCGGTGGGACATTTGAATAGGTATTCATCTACTTAGGACTGGGCGTGGGTTTCCATTTCAGAATTTCCCAGGACCACCTTTCAACCCTGTTGGAATCCAGGTCTGTGATTGGCTTCTTTGTGAGGGGTGGACAGAGAAGTCTTCCTTGATGCTGAAGTAGCTGGTGGGAGCTGCAGTGAGTAACACCACGGCTCTCCTGGGGAAATTTCAGGAGGAAAAGCGCAAAGAGCAAGGAGTCTGGTTCTAACCTCGGAGGCCCATATTCCTTCTCAGCCGTAAACCCGGAAGCCCACTTGCTCTTGCCCCCTCTGCTGTCTTAGGAGTGCAATGTGAGCAGGTGCTCAAGGGTACTGAAGTGGTGTAGAGAGTACAAAGGGGTAGAAGCCATGATCCTTCCCAAAAGGCACCTGGCCTATCTGCTTCCAAAACTCCCCAGGCGACAAAGGAGAGGGAAGTACACTCAAGGAACGCCAGGGGCCAGGAGGGCCTAAGCCTTGCATTGTGTGACCGTGGACGTTATTTCCAGAGTTGGGGCATATCAGCACCAAATGGAATTAGTGATTGGGGTAGGAAAGCATACTTTTATTTCAGCGCTTTCGGACATATAAACAATCATGAATGACCTCTTAGAGTTAATCATTCCTTGACTGTTTTTGTGGCAAGGTGTGTTTGGAAAAGTGTGATCATTTAAACAAGTCTCTCTGAATGGTACCATTGTTGGAGTGTGGGATTAGTCTTAGAAAATATTATCAAACCCGTCTTTGCCCATCTCAGCAGCTCCTTAGATGCATTCACTCGGCCGAGTCCTTGCCTCTTGGCCCCGTTGTTCCACCCAGTTCAGTCACCTGCACCCCCCGCTGTGCTGTTCAAGGGTTACTTCGAAATGTAGCTTTCCCCAGATGCTTTTCCTGATGCTTCAACAGGAATACTGCCTTCCCCGGGACCTTCACCAACTCCGTAACATTGCTACCAAGTTGATACCCTTGCTCTCCACTGGGCTCTACCATTTCCTAGGTTCTGCCCTGAGTGCTAGCCTGTTCCTATCCTTGAATTAACCCTTTCCTCTAGGACAGGAACCTTGTCCACCATCACTGTACACACCCAAGAGCCTACAGCACAGAACCTTGCACAGAATGGGAACTCGGAGTCCCGTCGGCCTACGGAGCATTCAGAGTTCGAGAGGACTCCACATATCATTGAGCCCTACCTGTGTCTCATGCAAGACGGGAACGCAAGGCCTCAGAAGCAAAGGGGCTTTGCCAGGGCCAACAGCTAGGTGTTGACAATCTGTCTGAGAGCTCTGATCTCTTGACCCGCAGGCAGCTGTCCCTTCACGACAGCACGTGCAATAAATGAAATGAAGCATCGTTGAGAAGTATGTTCCCACTATACAAAGGAGCGGGGTTAACACGGCACCCAAAGGCTCCCTGGGAAGGCCCGAACTCCTCTGAGGGTAGTGGGAATAATCCACCCACCATACTAGCCACCCATTGGATGAGTGCTACATCCTTTTACACACATCGCCTCGTTGTCGTTGTCTGCTCGAAGGCCGCCGATCGCAGAGGACTGACTTCTCTCCCTTTTTCCCTTCTAGGCTAATGGAGGTTGGCAGGATGCTACTACCCCTTCATCAGTGACCTCCCCTACAGAAGGCCCTGGCAGTGTTCACTCTGATACCTCCAACTGATCTCCCCGCAGTCGCATCCCGGCTGACCCTGTGCCCCAGTCGGGGCAGGGGCAGGAGGGAGGGTTGCTCTCCCAACGCTGAAGCGGTCAGACTGGAGGTCGAAGCAATCAGCAAACACAATAAGAGTCTCCTCCTCTTCTCTTCTTTGGGATGCTATTTCAGCCAATCTGGACACTTCTTTATACTCTCTCGCCCCACCTCCTCCCCCTCCCCCATTTTTTTCTGGGTAGAAGCCACCCCTCCCCTGTCTCCAGCTCTGAGCCTGGTTTCGACATCTTCCCCACCCCTTTCCCTTGGCCCTAGACTTCCTGGGTCCCTGCCCTCTCTTACATAACGGAAGGATATTTTCAACAGTTAGAGGAATTTAAAAAGGAAAAACCATGACAACGGAAATAATAAACGTGTTTGTATGTTTTCCTACTGGTGGTTTGAGGAGCCCAATTTACCTCACTCGGATCCCTCACACCCAGTTCTCGCAGACAGTCCCTCTGTTTCTCTTGTGACTCTCACTACCTCTTAGCAGCCACATGCCACTCTGCCCTCCTGGCTCCTGGCCTCCCTTCCCATCCTGCTCTTCCTCTGATCAGAACACTTCCCTCTGCTTCCACCCTAAGCCCCATTCCTCTTTTGGGACTGCCCCAGCTGGGCTTGTAAAGCTGCCTCCCCCATTTCCAGCCATCCCTCGGCTCAGTGCATCCTCAGGCAAGCAGGCAGCTGGGGAGGGCACATGGACAGACAGGGCCCAATCCCCACTGGCTCTCTCGTCCTGCCACAGCTCTTGGTGGCAGAAGCAGTCATTGGAAACCACTCAGCTCTTAGAAAGCAACACTCAGGCCCTCCTGCAGAACCACGGCAGACTCAGGCATGGCAGTAAACGTATCCCTGTGGAGTAGGAAGTTCTTAGCCTGAAGCGTGTCAACGCTCCCTTTGCACACGCCCGTGTGCATGCCGACACACGCATACCCTCATAAACAGGTAGGCACATGACTAATCGTATACCCTTCACTTTACCAAGATCATCCACAGACCATAGGTGGCACGGACTGGCAGCAGCCAGACCGCCCAGTGTGGTGGGCTCCGTAGAGGGAATGAGGAGCTGTGAGAAGGCCACTGGCAATAAGCAATGTGTGTCTGGGACTCCCAGGACCGAAAGGCTTGCCGCATGTTTCTGCCCAGAGCAACATCTCCAGGACTTGATTGTGCTGAGGGTTGGGTCTCGAGTGTACGCTCTTCCTGCTGCCACCATCTCTGTAACTCCCCGGGAGCCACACACGGCACTTAAGATATTTGGACTAGAGTGGGTTCTGCTCTGGGTGTGTTTTCATCTGAGAGGGACTGTGCCTTCCTGATCCACAGTGTTGTGGGGCACTGTGTTCTTGACACCTGACCTCTTGTTTGGGCAGAGAGAGTTATATCAGCGTGGCTCAGGCTTTCCTAGGTAAACTGGGAGATCCGGGGGCCTTGGGGAAGGAGGAGGAGGAGGAGATGTTTACACTGAACCCTTCCCAGTGATATTGTTTCCCAGCCTCCAAAGACCCGCGTGCTAGAAAACTGAGCCCCACTGTCGTCTCAGCTTGCACCCTCCACAGCGGACTGCGCCAGTGATAACGTTGGCTGCGTGGCCCCTTGATTAAGCGGAAGGTGCTTGCTCTCCTGGCTCCTCGGCTTCTTTAACTGTAAGATGGGGAGGTTTATGCTCGGGGTATCAACAGCTTTGTGCGAGACTGAGGAAACGTTCATTTGGCCCTGGTCTGTAAACGTGAACAGAAGGGAAGGCGCGTCGTGGGGATAACCGGATGGCCCAAGCAGCACGTGGGGACAAGGAGTGGTTTTCCTTCTGGCACCTTGATGGCATCAGGTGACAGAGGGTGAGTGTCGGTTTTCTGGGTCTGATTCGTTTGGTTTTTTAGAACAGAGAAAGTTTTCCTCTTCTGCCCGCTCCCCCAAAGGACCTGGTTCTCTTAGTTTGCACTTGAATCCGAAATGTGGCCTTCTAAGTACTTCATTCTGCCGGAGAGGCCTCCAGGTCAGGGACTGGGTTCTAAGGGGTGAGGCGGGTCTGCTTACCTGGTCATGGCAGGCCCCCAGGGCACTGCGGCCATCTGTAGAAAGTGCTCCTGGGTTGTGTGGGAGGGGGAGAGGGGAAAGGGCAGCGCTGTGGAGACGTTCCAGGCGTTTGAAGGAAATACAAGAAGGAAGAAGTTGGTGAGATGGGATCATGCCTGGATGGCTGAGAGTACTGGGAGGGCGGCAGGTGTCTACTAGCCAGTGCCAGGACCAGAAGAGGGTTAGGGAGAGAGGCCTCCCCAAAGGAGTACCCCCACCCCACCCCCCACTTGTGACCACTCTGTTGTGATTGTACCCGGTGGAGAGCTATGTCTGGGTGGCAGAAATATGAGGGGGCTTCAAACCGTTGGTGGAAACTTGGAATTGAAAGGCAATAGAATGCTTCCACGAACTTTTCTTAGCCCCCTCATATATTGAAAGTACCTCGTGCTCTTGGCCAACATTCAAAGACAAGACACTAAGAAGGCTCTCTTGGAAACAGGGAGGGCGGTTCCCGATTTGGATGGAAGGAGGCATTTTAAGTGAAAGGGTGAAACAGGATCAGAGACCTCCTGGCACCTGCACGAGCAGTGTCTCCTCCCCCAGCTCTCTGTACTGACCCTTTACTGTCAGCGTCTGCGGGCACCCCCCACCCCACACACACACCACGCCCCCAGCCCCAACCTCCCATCCAAGTCCACTATCACTTCCAACATGGCAGCCATGCGCCCAGGGCGGCCAGCCAAGCATGCACACACTGGCAGCAGAAAGAAGGGACACAGCGGTGCCTCTGGAAACCCAGCTCCCTGGGAAGCCACGCCCAGTCCACCCTGCGTGTGCTCCAGGGTCTATTCCGTGATGGTCTAAGGGAAGCAGGAACACTCCCTTTTCCCGGACAGCACATGTCCTCCCAGGAAATGGTACTAGACCTGAGGTGAGCCCACCTTTCACCTACCCCAGCCCATGGCCCACTCCTCCCCCGGCCTGGAGGTGACCCTGGCATCCTTCTGGCCAAGTGGCCCTTCCTCTCCACTGAGCTTGGGCGTTGCTGTGGCGATGGTTCCTTTGTTTGCCAGTTGCCTTTTCTCACACAGATCTTCTCTCCTCTCTTTCCTTCACCTTTGTTTATTTTTCTGCCCAGAAAAACCTGACTTCGATACCAAAAAAAGATGAAACTACAGAAACTCAAATTTAAAGAAAAAAAAAAAAAACCTTAAAAAAAACAAAAAAATACTCAACAATTCTTTCAGCTTTATTAACATTTTCCATTGTTTCTTGCGACTTGTGTCTTGTTCTTTGTAGTATTGATGATGAACATTTGATAATGAATGTTCTTGTATATTCAGATAAAGGGAAAAAAAAAACCAAAAAAGCGGTCTGAATTTAATAGTGTTTATAATAAAAATTTTAAAAATGACCCTCATAGCACGCAAACCAGGACAGGGGGCGGGGACTCCCCCACCCCGCTTCCTTCTGTGACAACGCGCATCACCCCCACATTAGTTTCCAACACCCACCGAACTACCTACGTTCGTCATTTCCCTCCTTTTTCTTTTTTTCTTGCATTTGTGAATTAGTTCAAGAATGCTAGAAAAGTGTCGAGTTGTGCACATCCATTTCCTGTTTCACAATGTTTAAAAGTGACGGTAATTCATTTTGTAAATTAAAAAAAAAGGTTGGAATAGTGAGCATAATAGGTACAGCCTAACACGTTCTTATGTTTATTAACCTCGAGACCCAGAAAGATATTCTTTTCTTTATTCCTACTCTTAAAAGTACAAAAAAAATAATCATCATGTTTTTGTTTTGTGTTATCTTGGTTTGTTTTTTGGGGGGGCTAATTGTTTTTAATGGTCCGGATTATGATCTTGCTGATTTTCCTTACACATGTATACAAGGTGATGTGAAGAGACGACACTGGTAGACTAAGTGGTTTTCCTTGTTGGCCTTTGCTTCAAAATTCAGTTGACTTTGAAATCGCAGGAACGCCCGTGTCTGGGGTTGCGTTCACAGCTTCATTTCCCCCAAGTGGGACACACTTGATAAAATTAGTCAGGGGCGTGGGGTCGCCTTTGGATCATTTAAAAAATTCCCTGTGTCCATACAAGGGATTTTCCCATATTGTGGGGAAGGGGTCTGCCTTTGTGGATTTTGATGACCTCCACAGAGGTTTTCTATCGCTCTGATTAAGAACAGCAGGCCGTAAGGCCTCTTCCAACCAGAGAGCATTTTTCTGCCAGATAATAGACAGTGCGCGGGTCCCCACTGGCTAAGGCAAGATCCCAGAAGCAGCCCCTGGTATCTTCGGAGTCCAGATTTGGATGGAACCAGTTTCTGTGTCCTTCCTGAGCTGTAGTTTTAATGCTGGGAGTCCTCTGCCTACGCCTCTCACCGACCTCTGCTTCAGGGAGCTGCTCGACAACGGAGCTGGCTTGATTGCCAATGTTTCCATTAGTTATGGGGCAGCAGGGAGTGGAGAGACAAAGGAATATTATTTGGGAGAAACATTTTTCCCCTTCACATCTTTAACTCAGTCGAGTCTGATGTGTTCAGACTTGAGGCAGAACCTACGCCGGACAAAAAGCGAAGAACGATCACAGAATTTTGGAGCAAAACCAGGAAGGGGCTCCCCCCAACGTGAGTGGTCTTGGGGGATCAGGCATCACAAAATAACGATGACCTTTTCACATCACCTTTGGGTTTCAATCCCTAGCTCAAAGCTGTCTGGAACCTTTTATTTTGTGTAAACTTTTTTTTTCCCCTTTTGTTAAAACATTCGATGTGTTGACCCCTTTCTCTCCGTGACTTCCTTCCCTTTCCTTTGGCTTTGAAACGTTTTTTCATTATTTTGAAATGCTTTCCTTCAGTGGTTGGTTGTTTGCCCCCTCCTCTCCCCGCCTCCCCTCGCACCCACCTCCTTATTATTCAGAGTATAAACCCGCGCGCGCGAAGCTCTGCTCTGTTTGGGTTTGGGAAGTGTAAGCTGTTCTGCTTCTGTGAGACACAGGCTCCTGTCCCTTTGATTCCACGGAACGTCGTGTTCTCTAAATGATACTAACACGGTGTAGGTTTTACAGTCTCCTAATTTGTACTGGTAATGCATATTCCAAATAAATAGTTTCTTTTGTTGCAAAATGTATATAGACTTGTATTTTGTGTAACTTTCTTCTGTACATGCTGACAGTTTGTCTCCCTAACTCCCAACACCCCTCTCTCCCCCCAAACCCAAACTGGTCCTTAGCGTGGATCATGGTGTAAACGCTGACCCTAATCATTTGTAGTCTACAGATCACATCACTCGGTCAAATGAGCGCCGAGTTACCTACACCATCAAGCACAAGAGAGGGAGGACAGGAAGGAGGAAGGCTCTCACAGGGGTCCCGGTTAGCTGTCAGGACTGCCGTGATAAAGTAGAATCCCATCTCTGCCTGCCTATGACTCCACCAAGCAATGAATTAAAGAACGATTCGACTTCTTAAGTTCTTAAGTTATGCGAGTTTAGCCCGGGGTCCTCCTTGCCTTCTTTGTCTAATGGTAAGGAACAGACTCAGAGCTGCAGGTTCTCAGAAGTGAACCAGGTGCAGCACCTGTCAATCGGCACCCCTGCCATCTGCCGTCTCTCCCATCCCATGGGAGCATCTCTTCTGATCGTTGGCACGCCCACTGAGCCCCTGCCCTTTGGGGCTACAGTCTGTTACACAGTTGGATGTCACAGAGAATTCTGACTGGAATGCTGCTCCACACTTCCATTCCCACCTCCGCCTTCCCCATCACCTTCCCATTCATAGCATGCCATGGAAGGTCTTGCCGGCTTTTGGCACAGTGTGCCTTTGGAGACGTCGTGTGCATGGTTCACATTTGGGGTAGTAACTCTCAGGAGGCTCTCTCCTCTCAGGAGGTATGGATCGAAAGAAGGGACACCCGTCACGTATCCCTTGATCCATCTTGTGATTCCATCTAACCAACTAGATCAAAGGACTTGAAAAGCCCAGTGGGAATTAAAGTATCATTTTCAGTGCATCCAATGACTTAAAAAAATACCAGGTTGTCTTCTAACGTTGGTTTGAGGAACATACCTCGGATCTGAGGCCCAAAGGTATTATTCCCTCTTCACTGGTAGACTTTGGTTCCTATTTATGGAAGATCTGGATACACAAGGCAAACTCAGTTTTCTAGTGGCACAATTTGGAACTAGCCCACCCACCTAATGTATGCTTATAATAAACCTAAACTGTTCTAAGGAGCAGGCCAAAAATGTATCGTGAGCACACACGGAGTTCAAGTCTTTCTCTCCCATAGGAGCAAATGGTCCTCGTCAGCGAGTGGCCCTTCTCTGCTCCATAATCAGGGGTCCAGCCCTCATCTCTTTTGTAGCCTGAAGTCCTCCACGTCTAGTGGCAGAAAGCGAGGTCATGAAGCCCCGCCTGCTTCGTGGACACTGACCAAGGACCTGCACACTGTCCTTGCCTTCCAAGCCCCCAGGCGAGCCCTAGTTCTGTGGTCACATCTAAAGGCAAGAGCTGGGAGGAATGGGCTCAGAAAAAGGATCTCAGGCTAGGCTGTCACTGCCTGACAGTCATTCCACCCCAGAGAAGATGTGTGTGACGTGTGAACAGCTGGCCGCCTGTGTCACTCTTAGGGACTAAAAGGGGACTGGAGAACCAAGGACAAGTGGATGCAACCTTCTCAAGGCACCAGACATTCATCAGTGCAAACATGGCCTGTCAACTGCCCAGACGGCTGCTTTACTCTGCACTGGGAAGGGAGGGGGCTGGAGAGAGGGCTCAGAGCTGCTCACTATTTCCCTCCCAAGCAGGAGGGAGGAGAAATCCTCTCCTTTCTGACAGTGGAAGAGGGAAACACCCTTTCCTCAACAGTCTCCAAGTTCTACCCTCTAAACTTCGCAGCAGGCCGCGGTCGCCAGGGATGGAGACCATCAGCGAGTCACGCAGCCTGGCCCTTCATCCAGGAGGCGTCTCTCCTTGCTGGCGTCTGGTGGCCAACAGCCACTTGGGAGGATGTCCCTAAAGCCACAAATCATGACGTTTTCTACGCTCCAGACCACATGCGCCTACATAGTTTATCTTTACGAACATCCACCACCTTTCCATTCAAAACCAGACCTCATTCAGTCAACTTTGACAGATGTAACGAGGTAACTCCTTTTCGGACAGCCATTTGATACCCACAAGAGCTCCCGTGCAGCAAACATGCAGCGTGGAGGTGGCTCAAAAACTCAGGCCCCAGGCCTCATTGGGCCAATGTTTAAACGAGCTATAAAAGTGGCCTGCTGGGCCAAGCCCTCTGGGGTACAAATGGAGCAGGGCACCGAGGGCAGCCTTAGCAGAGCACCCAGGCCCGCCTGCACCCAGGCAGTGCAGAGGTGGGGGAAGAGCAGGTGTGAAGGATGGTTGGCCGTGTTAGAAACACCAGGACCACATGGCTAGGAGAACCATTGTGTTCGCATATACACCTGGGCCCTACAGGAGGCAGTTCAGCTTTTATTCCCAGGCACCTCCGAAGAGATCAAAAGGACCACTCATTAACTTTGGGCTTACACTGTATCCTGAACCCAAGCCTACTTTTCTCCCATGATGTCCGGCCACATTGCCTGGTGCCCCTCCTCAGTTAGCAACATGGACCTCTTGAGACCATAGAGCATCTCAAGGGCTGCAGTGCCAACAGTAGAGCCAAATATCAATCTCATATTCAAAATAAAACCCAGAGAAATTGAAGTCTACATAGCCTACCCTCACAGAGTGCCTATTGGGTGTTGACTCACTCCCAGAGGCAGACTCTCACTTCCAGACACCCTCACCCCCATGAACGCCTCCCCCCAAAGCCCCCTCACCCCCTCACCCCCAGAGCTGCCTACTCCCAGGCCCCCATCACTTCCTGAGCCCCTCTCTCCCTAGCCAGCAGCAGAGGCTTCTTTTACTGGAACAGGGGTAGCTCTTCAGGCACCCCTAAAGTTCATGTACACCAACCTCAGATGTTTCTCCAAGTCAGAGAGCCCATGGCCATCAAGTCAGTGGGAGCCCGCAGCCACCCGAGAAGACAGGCCAGAACTGCCCTGTCTTCCTAAGAGTAGAAAGCTTCGTCCTTCACAGTGAGCAGCCCAACACTAAACTCAGTATGTCAATGGGTATTTCAAGTACCATCCCACCCACCCCCAAATAAAACCCCCTTAGAATAAGGGGACCAGACGTCCTGCTTTTGGCGGGACAGTCCCGATTTTTAACAATTTTTCCTGCATCCTGCAGCATTTTTAAAAAGTCCCGATTTTTGGAAAGAATGCACGACAAGCTAGGGTATACGGTTTTTGGCTGCCACGTGGCTATTTCGCCAGGATATGAGGTTCATCAATGGTGTCCCGCTTTACCAATGTTAAAATCTGGTCACCTTACCTTAGAAGGTATTTGAAAAGAGATTCTAGCACCCCTCTTGCCTACCTAATCTCCAACATGAAAGGGAATCCCAGGCTTCTCCAGCAAAAAGAAAGTCCCCACCGCAGCAGAGACCGTGTGACTGCCGCTCCCTCTGGCCCCAGTAGAGGGCTGGGTCGTTTGAGAGCAAACAGAAAAGAGGACACAGGACAAAGTAAGAGCAACCGTATTCCGATCTGGCTGCAGTGCCAAGACAATTCACCGTCACGAGGTTCATTTTAGGCTCCCCTTCTTCCTGTGTCCTGAGGGAAGCAATCCAATCTCTGGGTCCCACCTCCTCTCCCAGAGAATGGCCTCTCACATATCCACGTCTTTGAGCAAAATTCAGAAGCCTGCACCAGCCCTTTGCAGTCAGCAGGCTTTACCAGAGGCCCTCCCTTCTGCCTTGCTAGGTGTCTGCATATATAAGGTGTATCTGCATGTCCAGTTTCCGGTAAGCCTCTCTCCCCCAACCTCCTGCTGAATCCGTTTTTCCCCTGCCCCAAGCTGGCTTTCCTCCCTGGCGATCCTTACACTCATGACCCACCTCTGAGGAGCCTCCTCCTGACACCCAATCTCCAATTCCTGAAGGAACTCTTCAGAAGGCTGGGCCCCTTCCCCAAAGCCCGCCCTTCCCTCAGCCTTGAAGATGCTCAACCTCCAGGGAACGATTGCTGCTTCCATATTGGCAATAACAGTCCTCTCGGGCTTCTCCCTTGGGTTTGCCCTAAATGTTTCTTTTTTACCATTCTTTGCTTCCTTTGAAGCGGAGCCAGCCAAGCTTAAACGTCTTGAACCTGCACATTTGCCTGGTGGCGCGCCCTGTCTGTCTCGGAGAATTTGCCCACTTGGCTGCTGGGTGTTTGATTTTCTAGGATGCTTGGTTGCTGCCCTTCAGGATAGCCGCTGGCTCATGGGGTTGTGCATGAGAGAACAAATGCTGCCCACACGGCACCATTGTGATCCATTGGGTTTCCATCGACTGATGTAGATCACCAGGCGTTTCCTAGTCCGGAAGCTCCACGAAGCCTGTTTTGCATTAGAGCTGCACAAATGGAGCCCGCATCTCTCCCAGAAACACCACTGCCAGTGACCAGACTCCATCTCCTAGCAACAAAACAGAACCCCCTACAGGTTTGCAAGGCGGTCATTCTTACGGAAGTGGACTGTCACATCTTCCTCCCACTGAGCAGCTAGTAGGTCCCATCACCACAACCTTGGGTTTTCAGCTGAACGCTTGACCACGATGCCCCTGTGGACAGCAGGAGGACACAGGGCCCAGTCCTGTGGCGTGCTCACAGTCAATGCGGTGTTGACACCAGCATGCAGTCTCCGTGTGGGCTCATGGCACGGAAGGTTTCCCTCTGTTTCACGGACCCTCTCCTTCAGCAAGGACGGATTCCTTTTCCAGGGATTGGAACCTTCTGATAGCAGGTTCAAAGTGTGTGAGCTGAAGTCTCAGCCTCCTCGCTTCTGAGCAGCGTTTTGGCCATTTGCTCTCTTCTGGGAGCTCACGGGACAGTCCATGTCCACTGCCAACCCCGTAGTTCAAGTGCATCGAGGCTTCTTCAGTCTTCCGTATTCACTGCGTAGCTTTCACATGCATATGAGTGGACGAAAAACACCAGGGCTTGGGTCAGGTGCACCTTAGTCCTCAGAACAACATCTTTGCTTTTTAAAACACTTTAAAGCAGCTTCTTGCCTTACGTTTGCC